TTTCAACATCCAAACAATGATAAAATAAATTAAATGGGAATTTTTCTTCATACCTCCCGCCAGAAATTTGTCATAGTTGATATTCACTGGATTTCTCTGACAGTCCCGGAAGGTCGTTAGTTCCTCAAAATCCCCAAAATTGAAGGGTTGGGGTTTTTCACGTCCCGAGCTGCTCAGTCCCGCAGCCGTCTTCAATGTTGGCCCGTCCAGCTTAATCATTTTCCCCTTTACCAAAGATTGCATAATTCCTTTGTTACTTGTGGCAAAACAGAGAAACAACTTGATCAGTTCAGGGTAGTAGGGTGCCTCCATTTCCAAAAACTTTCCCAGTTCTTGGTGCTCTAGCAGGGTTGGGAAACTAAAGCCTTCATTCTTGAACCATTCTAGCTTGAGGGTCTTGGGAGGAATGATTCTCCGCCCTGCATACCACTCAAAATAGTACTCTTGGGTCTTCTCATCTGGGAACCATTTTGAAATCAGCTGCCCAGAGGGTAGAGGGCGCTTGCTCCCCCTCACTTAAAGCTTCTTGGGTCTCTTGGAAGAAGAAGCCATAAATGGGTCTTGGTGAAGAAGAGAAGAAATGAGAGAGTTGAGAAGGTTAGGGTTTGAGGGTTTGTCCTAATTAAACTAGTCAACAAAACAGAACAGAAATCATTCTTCATCTTCAGGTATGCCTAGGTGAGTCTTGAGTAGCTTCACCTCATGATCAAGATCATCAAACCTATCAAGAATACAAGAAAATAAAGACTCATGTCTTCTAGACATTTCCATCACTGCATCAAGTTTATTTCCAAAAGTTGAGTGCAAAACATACATAAAAGACACTCAACACAAGTCAAAGAGAGAATTATTTTTATCTCAACACGGTTGCATACAAAAGGTAGTGGAGAGGTTTAGGATGCATCAATCTAAACCTGTTAGCACTCCTTTGGGTCATCACATAAAGTTCTCTATCACACAAACTCCTAGCTCTGAAGAGGAAAGGAATTATTCCATATACAAGTGGATTATGGAGTATCATGTATGGCATGGTTTGTAGCAAACCTAATTTAGCCTATGCTATTAGCGTTGTTAGTTGATTAATAACAAATCTAAGTCAAGCTCATTGGGAGGCTTTGAAGTGAGTATTGAAATATTTGAATGGTTTTCAAAAATTTGAAGGTATAAAAAGATAGTTCAAGACGAATAAGCTATTATGGGGTATGTTGACGTAGTCTATGTAGGAAATGTGGATACCGAAAAATCTTTATCTAGGTACGTTTTCACTTTGTTTAGAACTGCAATTAGTGGGAAAATAAATTTACAACCTATGGTAACTTTGTCTACAACAAAAAGAAAAATACATTGTTCTTGTTGAAGGAGTGAAGGAAGCCTTATGGTTAAAAATGATGATTGGTGAATTGGGTATATTACAAAATTGTGTGATAATTCATTGTGATAGCCAAAGTGTTATACACCTTGCAAATCATCAATTTTATAATGAGAGAATGATGCACATTGATATAAGGCTTCACATTATCAAAGATGTGGTTGAATTTGGAGAAATTTAGATTGAGAAGATTTTGTCTAAAGACAATCTTGCTTATGTGTTTATTCAAAATCTCTTACTACATCCAAGTTTAAGCATTGCTTGGACTTGATCAACTTTGTCTAATGTTCCTTATGAAGTGGGACAGCAGTACTATTACGAAAAGATTCCTTTCTATATATTTAGAGTCAAGGTGGAGAACTATTGATTATGATTCAAAATCTAATGTATCATTTGTATGTTTTATAAATTTTTTCGTTTGTATAGTCTGATAGGTTCACTATGTTTCCATTTGTCTGATGGATTCAGTTTTTCTGCGTTCGTCTTATAGGTTCAGACTATCTTCATTAGTCTGATGAGTTTAGTCTATCCTATTTTATAAGATTTAGTATATGTGTCTTGAATCCCTATATATATGTGTATGTGTGTATGTGTGTTTTGGGGATCCTTTCTGAGAGCACGACACCTAGAGAGAAAATGTAAATAATAAAGTGTTAATGTGAGCACATAGAACTGGAAAAAAGATACATAGAGAGGAATAGAACCGGTTAGAGAGATCAAAGGGTTTCTGAGAAAAGTAAGAGTTGCTCTATTGTAAAAATTTGATCTTATTATTATTTTTTTTTTATGGTGGAATTTGCTCTCTCTTATGGATATAGGCAAAATAGGTTGAACTATGTAAATTTGTTTAATTTTTTCTCAATCTTTTTCATTTTACTATTGTATTTTCTTGCATTTACGTTTTACTTTCTTGTTAAATTTTTTTGTTTCTACTTTTTTCATTTATTGTTGCATAAAATTTATTTTTATTTGTTTTCTTTCTTATTTCAGAACCAATACATCTTTAATAAGAAACAGATAGAAGAAGGTGCACGATTTGAGGAGGAGGCGGGAGAAGGAAACCATGAAATTTTTGAACTAGCTAGTGCGCGCAATACACCTTCTTTTAAGCATCCTGTGGGTTATTTACGTCGACCCTAATTGGGTCCGACGTAAATTTTAACATCTACGTCGGACACAATGCATAGCCGACGTAGATGTTAAAATTTACGTCGGACCCAATTAGGGTCGACGTAAATAACCCACAGGATGCTTAAAAGAAGGTGTATTGCGCGCACTAGCTAGTTCAAAAATTTCATGGTTTCCTTCTCCCGCCTCCTCCTCAAATCGTGCACCTTCTTCTATCTGTTTTTCTTCCTCATCCCTCCGCCTCCTCCTCAAATCGTGGCTGTCCTCCTCATCTGCACCTTATTCTGTTTTTCTTCGCGTGATGATGTTTTTCTTCTTCGGAGGGTTGCGTTTTTCTTCTATGAGGTAGCATCTTCTATCAAGTTTGTGTTTTATAGGATGTTTTTTTCGTAATAATGTTTGTGCTGCATTTCGCGCGAGTTTTTGAAGCTGGAGAAGGAAGTGACCAAGTCCGGGTTTGGAGACGCACTCCTGGGTCTATTAAGCAGAACGGGCCGTTCTGCTTGGAGAACGGCCCGTTCTGATTGGAGAACGGCCCATTCTGCTTGCACTCATTTTTTTTTAAATTTTTTATCTTTTTTATATCGGACCTTGGCATGTCTGACGTAAATTTACTTCGGTTTTCGCGTCCCGACGTAAATTTACGTCTCCCGCTTCAATGTCGAAAGTTTTTCTGATGTAAAAACCCCTAAAATGATCGATGTAAAATGTGTATTATGTACTAGTGAAAGGATTGATTTAATATTTTTGAGGTCTTTTATAAATGTAGGATTAATTGACGGTATTCTTTTATGACTATATTCATGGTTTCTTTGGACTTAAATAAACAGCTATAAACGTTGAAGGAAAAGAAACGTACGCATTTAAAATTTAGATTATTTCTTGAATTTTTTTAATCTTGTAATTAATGACATACGTATATTTATTTAAAAACTTTATGGAACTCTTTAATAAAGATTATTTCTTTTATCTTGTAATAAGTGTTATGTTTGAAGAAAAAGTAAGTCCAAATAAGCATCATTTTTAATGTATAATTAATTACTTATTTTTTTTTATTTATATTCATAATAATATTCTTAGAAAGTTGTTGTTGTGTTGCATCATTTATATCAAATAAAGTTAACTATGTTAATTTTGTAAAAGTAGTATTCCCTTATTTTTGAATATATAAAGAAAATCATGCTTGATGGTGTCAAATGTATACAAATTTCAAATTATATTTCACTCTATTTAATCTTTTCCAAAATAATCTTTCATTTATTTGAGATTATATTTTAAGGTAATTTTGGAAAATAAATTATTTTCTATATGACATTAATGGAATTAAATAATATAAATTAACTTTTTTTAATATTACGGATGAGATTAGATTAAACCTTAAATAAATCTTATGGTCTGACCTCTTTAAAATTTGGTGTGACTTATTTAATAAAAAGGTTAAGTTTAAGTTTTTAAAAAATTTATTTATATATATATTTTTTTAAAAAACTCTGACTTAAACTTATAGAAAAGTTTATTAGGCATGATAGATCGCTCTATTTATTTATATAATATAATAAAAATTATATATATATATATATATATATTATTAAAATATAAATAAACAAATAAATTTATAAAATAAAAATAAATTATTAATATTTAAAATATTTTTTTATACAATTATTTTTTTCATTATAGGTTTATAAGCTTACGACCTATGCATGAATATACACATTAACATACATGAGTACACATTAACATATATGGTTACACATGAATTGTTCCTTCAATAAAAAATGATTCAATTTTTCTTATATATTTCTTTTAAAAATTAAATTTTAATAATATTGAGTAAATTATATTTTAAAAATAATTTTTAAAATTTTAAAATTTAATTTATTGACCTAATTAATATTAATAACTTAGATAGATTTTTAAATAGGCTAGCTAATAGCCCAGACTAGCTTTAAAAGGGTTTGGTTAGACCTATAAAAAAGTTTATGATAGATAATAATAGGTTATATTTAAACTTTAATTTTATATAACAAACTCAATTTATATATTCAAAGTCTGAAATGACCTAATCTATTTCTATCCCAATTTAATATGAAATTTTTTTATTAAATTCAGAATGAGGAAGTATTTTTTCCCATCTATTTATTAAGTTTTTTTATCTGTATTAAAAAATTAAGAAACACAAGTGATGCACTCACAATCACATTTATTATAGTTTTACACAGAAATTCAATTACAAAACATAAATTATTAACTTTTATAATAAGTAAATAAAAAAGTTATTCAAATGATAATATTTAATTGATTGAAAGCGTAAAAATATACATAAATATTAAGTTTTTTTTATTAAATATAATAAGTGCTATCATTTAACTCATTTAATATAATCAATATTATTCTGTCTCTAACGTTCCTATGTAAATTTATTTATTTTCAGTCAATTGCTTAATGACCACGGCAAATTACAATCCCGAGTTCAAACTAAACTTTCTCAGCCTATATTTGACAAAATCTGGCATGTTTGTGGACTTCAACTACAAAATTTCAAACTAATTGAAAGATTAGTCACGTCCATTTTGAGTATAAATAGAGACATAGGTAGTGAGTGAGACTCACACTAGCAAGAAAAACCATTGATCGTTATTGACCAGAGAGAGTGAAAAAAAAAATAAAAAAATCATGGGTAATGGAAGCATAATCTGGATGATTTTTAGGGCCCTAGTGACTCTCTTTATTCCGTCATACCTCAACTTGAACGAGGAGTATTTTGAGCTTAATCTTCAAGAAGATCATCACATGAACCTTGGTGTGCAAGAAGACGAAGATGAACGGGGTGGTGGAGAAAATGTTCAAGAGGATGTGATCAATGGGAGAGAGTGGTTTGAACAAGAGATCGATTCTGATGTGAAATGGTCCTTGGCTTTAGACAGGTATATAATAACTATATGTATATATATAAAACTTATAAATTCAATTATGGAATTCGTCTAATTAGCTTCCATTTGGTACATAAATTTTGTTTGAGATCGAATCTAACCTAATCATGAATTTGGTATCTAAGTGTTGTGTTTGAAGCGGCAAGTGAGTTCCAAAGTCTATCTGTTCTTTCTACAAAACGATTTGGAAAGGTATGTTTTCATGATCTGTGGCAATAATTAACCTATGTATCTTTCTCTTTTAGCAAAGAATTTGAATGCAATCTATGTTTTCATCGTGACATGCTATTATAACTAATACACCCTTATTAAATCCCCGAATAATAATTAGAATATGCTAGCTCCTAACATATATAAATCTAATTAGTTAGATGATCTATCTAGAAAATTGATAAAATTACTTATTTATTTTCCTTGTCTATTTTGTAGGCTCTCGTGATTGATGGGCATTTACAAAATACAGAATTGGACGAATACATTTACAATGAAAATTTGGTCCATCCCTCACTTTTAATACATAATGAGATGTACATTTACTTGTATCCATACTTTAATTAAGTTCTATTTTTATGGATAAATATTTACATTCCTAACCAATTAATTATTCAACAAAAGCAGACCCAAAACTGTTTTCATAATGGGAGGAGGTGGAGGGTCTGCTGCAAGGGAGGTTTTGAAGCACAAAGACATTGAGAAAGTCATAATATGTGACATTGATAGGGTGAGTTGTTCATTAAATTTAGAGATTGTGGCATATCTCTTTTAACTGATTGTGCAAATTTTAATTAAAACATCTCTTCCATATATTATTCATCTGAGTTCAATACTTAACCACAGAGCACTGCGGATTTGATCCGTGAGCATATGACGGCAAATCATGAGACCTTCAATGACGAGAGGCTTCAACTTGTTCAGAATGATGCAAAGTGAGTAATACAATTCGAATTTGATTTTTCTCATTCTTTTCTTTTTCTTTCAATCTTTCGATTAGATGGTTGTTACAAAATACACTTCAATTTTTTAAAAAAAATTTCTTTATCATTAATCAAATATTCAATTTCTATTTGTATTAAAATAATATTTAATCAATAAAAATTATATTTCACAAATACAGATTAGTCATTAATTCTTGACTTTAAAATTGTGTAAATTATGTATATAGACAAAAATAAGATGAAGAGTTATACTCAAGCTGAAAAATTAACCAAGCAAAAAATTTGTTGCCAATTCATGATATTCAGTTTGAATACATTTCCTAGCTCTTTCTACCTTTTTGTTTTATGTGTGAATTATAATAACGTAGAGGGTGAATATATTTATTTATTACTTATAGGTATGAACTAGAGAAGTCTGAGGAGAAGTTTGATGTGATCATAGGGGATCTTTCTGACCCAGATCAATCAGGGCCTGTCCATATCTACACAAAATCCTTTTACCAGAATGTTGCCAAACCTAAGCTCAAGGAAAATGGTATCTTTGTAACTCAAGTAAGATTTTTCACTATTCTTTTCCTATCTTTTTTCCTTCTAACAAATATATATATAAACATGAAAGACTCATCTCAACTTAATTAAAACTAATTAAACCAAACAATCATATGTACAGGCTGGTCCCGCGGGAATTTTTACACACAAAGCTGTGTTCTCGACAATATACAACACACTAAAGCAAGCTTTTCCTTGTGAGAACATTTTTTCCTTATTCTAACCCTTCCCATTATAGATGCATTTGCAAGCTTTCAAAGTGAAAATTTTGATCATTAATTAGTTGATAAGCATATTTCTTTGGACTCTTGTGTAGATGTGGTTGCATATACAGCGCTGGTGCCATCATATGGCGACTCCTATGGATGGATTTTGGTGAGATCAAAAGCAATTATTTAAATAAGTAGAAAATATAACATATATATATATGCTCCATGCAATTCATTCCTGGACATATTTTTGTGTATTTCTATGTTCAAATGAAAGAAATTAATAGACATGCTTTGTATTAAATTGCATTGAGAGATTAATAGTTTCATTTCAATGGAAGTGTAGTGTCCTAGATATATGATCTATTATGAGATAATTTCACTTTGGTTGCCAACAATGATCAAATGTTAGCTAATTAATGGTTGTTATTTAATTGTACATTAAATTTATCAGGCTTCGAGTGAACAATTCAATCTTGATGCTGAAGAAATCGACACCAAGATTGGAGAAAGACTCAGGGAGGGGTTAAGATATCTCGATGGTGCAGTCATTATAGCGTCTATGGTTCTAAACAAGGCTTTGAGAAAATCGTTAGTGATCTATAGTAATACCAATCTAGTGTGAATTGAAGCACTTGATCAATTTTTTTATGATATACTGAATGTGTGATTAAAATCATTGCAGGCTTATTGAAGAGACTCGAATCTTAACCGATGAAAAGGTGGTGGTGGGGTTTGTTCGCAAACCAGGAATTCACCGTTATGCTTAGTGTTGTTTTTTTGCTTTAGGCTAATCTAGCTTTTGGTGGCATTTTGAACGTAAACTTTATTCTCATATTTCATTACCGTTCAAAACAACCTTAATCTCTAGAAATCTAGGGTCTAATAACATGATTTAAGGGTGCGTGTAATAAATGATCAAGAGCTAAAAGTCTAATGTTATCAAGTTTATGATGAAGTTCTAAATGTTATGAAATCTTTCTCTCTCTCTCTCCCATGCATCATTGTTATGAATCACAAAATCTCTCTCTATCTCTCATGTATTATTAGGCTATCGTTGAATTTTGAGCATGTTCATGCTCCATAAAATTATAACGTACGCTCATTGCAGCTAGCATAACTGCATAAGAAAATATAGGAAATGCAAATGAGGAATCAATTCCACATCGCGTATTAGTACTCCAATTATTTTTATCACACCGCTGCATCGAAGAACTTGACAATAAGAAATAGAAAACATAGTTCGATTTTATGCGGTAAAAATAGTATATAATCACCGGTGAAAGGCTATGTTTCGTTGAACTCTAATCATGTTTGTCCCAACTCTTAACCCACTAAAATAATCCTTCCACTACTTTATAATAAGTGTCGTTTTTATTATTTTATAAAGATTAAGAAAAGTTAATAATTAAAAAAAGGGAATAATAATTTTATAATTAATTTTTTTTAGAAATAATACAACATAATAATTATTTTTTAAATAATACTATGAAAGGTATAAATAAAAAAATCTAATTAATACTACAATAAAAACTAACAACACTTATTTTATGTCTTATTTTTCCTTCAAGCATGACACTTACATTAACATGGAGGGAGCAATAATTTTTTATTGAGATTTAGATCTTTTTGTTAAATTAAGAAAAATATGTAATGCACTAACATGCGTAATTTTATAGATTGTCATTTCATTACAAACTATTATTTATGATAAATTGTAAATAATTACATAAAAAAATAAAAAAATCATACAAACAATGATATCCAATCGGTTAATATTGCATTGTAGGTTAAACATTAAAATCTTTTATAAAATTAATATAATAAACTCATTTAATAGAAATAATATTAAATAGGTTACATTATAATTATAGTCTTTTATTTTATTTTTAAAATTTATTTTAATATTTTATCTTTTAAAATGTTCATTTTAATTTTTTATTTTCTAATTTTGAGTCAATTTAATCATTTTAAAACAATGATTATTTTCACTTTTGAGACAAGATTTTAAATCTTTTTTTGATTGACTTAAGACTTAAAAATCACATAAAAATAAGTCTAAAAAGCAATTAAAAATTAAAAAAAATATATAATTTTACATTATTTTTAGTTATTTGAGGGATAAAATTTTTCACATAATTTTTACTATATTTATATTCCCTTTAAATTTAAAATTCAATTCAATTTTATAATTTTTTTATATAAATAAATCTAATATTACAAGTCTCACATTTTGAATCAATAAAAATTGATTCAAAATTATGTCTCAAACTTTAAAATATTATTATTTTAAAAGGATCAAATTGATCTAAATATAAAATATAAAAGACTATAATGAATAAAAAACTATAAAAGATAAAGGATCAAATCGATCCAAATAAATGATCAAAATAAATTTAAAAAATAAGATAAATTATCAAAAATATAACTTAATTTATTAAATATAAGGCCTTGCTAGGCAAGTGAAAATGGAGGATGCTAACGGAACCTGATAGTCAATGGGTGAGAGTGCTCAATTCAAAATATGTAAAGGAAGACGGTTCATGGGTAGTGGAAGGTCGGACTTGCTCCAAATGGTGGGTGGATATGCAGTCCGTTGTGGATGCGGTTCACGGATGCTCTGGATGGTGGAATCAACATGTCCGCCATGTCCTGGGAAACGGTAAGCAGACTCGATTTTGGAATGACAGGTGGGTCGGTGAAACTCGTTTTTGTGATGAGTTTAGTCGCCTTTATGGAATCTCGTTAAACAAAAATGACTCGGTAGAAGAAATGTATGGGGATGGTTCAAAGTGGCGGTGGAGTTGGAGGCGCCCACTTTTTGCATGGGAAGAGGAAAAGTTGGTTGAGTTGGCTAATAGGTTGACCTCGGTAGTTTTGACAGAGGCTCACCCAGATGAATGGCGTTGGTTAGCCGAAAGGTCAGGGAAATATTCGGTGACATCTGCTTATAAGATTTTAGCAAAGTCAAACCTTGTTTAAGTGGACACTTTTTATGATACGATATGGGTCAAAGGTATCCCTCCTAAGGTTCAAGTTTTAGTGTGGCAGTTGGAAGCGGACAGGTCACCTACCCGGGATAACCTCCTTTTGAGAGGGGTTACTCTAGAAATACAAAATGGTTGTGTTTTTTGCGAAGAAGGCTTGGAGTCCAGCAAGCATTTGTTCCTCTTGTGTCCAAAGGCTTATGCTGTTTGGGTCAGATTATACGCTTGGTGTGGAGTGTCAGGGGTGCTTATCAATGAACTTAGGAGTTTTTGTCATCAATATATGGGATTGGTGAGTGGCAGTAAGGGTATTAAGCGAGTTTGGTCCTTTGTTTGGTTTGCAGGTATATGACAGTTATGGAAGGCTCGAAATGAGAACATTTTTAAAGACAAATTCTTTAAGGTGGAAGAGATCGTGTTCATAGCACAGTTGAGATCGTGGGAGTGGTGTACGGCTGCTAGAATGGTGTCTTCTTCTTTTCCAGAATGGTTGATGAACCCATTGTCCTGTGCAAGTGTCCCTTAAATTTGTTTTTTCTTATTTTTGGGTCATCTTGTTTATAATTATGACTTGCACTTCTTGTGCACAATTTTCTTAGGATTAATAAATTCTTGGCTTATCAAAAAAAATAATTTATTAAATATAAATAACCTAGAATGATATTTATTCTGGAAATGAAGAAAGTATTAGTAGCTTTTATTTGTTTGTATAAAGAAACATAAGAAGACTTATTATGGGAGAGAGTATTTATCATTTAATTTTTTGGTTAAACATATCTTTAGACTCTACATATGTTGTGAATTCGGTTCCTATATGTACAAATTTATTAATCTAGTCTCTATACATGTAATTGTTACTGATTTGGTCTATGAAATCATCAATTTCCTTACATATTCTTAATTTATTCCTTATATTTGTAACATATTTTTAATTTTTTATACAATTAACACACTCTTAATTTTATCGTGCTAGGGATTAAACTAATAATACATTACATGCGCAGAGATTAAATTAAAAAAAAGTATTATATGTATAAAAATTAAATTAATGGGGTGTAATAGAGTTATCGATGTTAATAACTATAAGTCAATAATATTTAACAAGTGAATTGATTTAATAATTTTTTAAGAAGTACAAGGATTAAATTATATTTATCCTAAATTTTTAAATTTTTTCTGTTACTTCTTTAATGAGAAATATTCATTTAATATTTTTCAGGCTTATAATAGATGTAGTATTAATTCACGGCATTTTTTATGACTATATTCATGTTTTCTCTTTATGACCAGTATTATTTCTTCTAATATTTTTAATCATGTAATTAATGACATATATTTATTTAAAACTTTATAGAACTCATTTAGGTTTCATTGAAATAAATTATGGATAATTTATTTAGATTTATCTTATTTTATAAGTGTTTATAAAAATATTTAGATAAATTTATTAAATATTTTATAAGTAACTATAAAATATTTTGAGCTTATTTTGATTTTTTTTTTATAGTATAACTTAGTACATAGCATATTGAAAAATATCTAAATTTAAATTCTATCACCAATGTAAATAAATTTTATTTTTATTTTTATTCATCTACTAAAAACTGGTTTAATATTATTTTCATTACTTCCTACAAGAGTTTTCACTTATCTTTTTAAAAAAATTTGTTATTCTTTATTTTTTTTCTCTTCAATTTCTTTTTCTATCTCTTCTCCCCAAAATTTACATTCTCCTATTATTGAAAAAATCTCAACTTTATTTTTCTCTAAAATAGCACATCTAAAATAATTTTGTTGTTGATATTTCTACAATAATTTTTTTTAAAATCATTATTTTATAAAATATTTAATTTTTTAATTTTAAAATTTATGGCTCTTAATTTTTAATCATGGTTATCTATATAAAATTGATTTCTCATATATTATTATTGATTTTATTTTTTGTAAACTAATTAGGTGAATGGTGACTAGTAATTATTTTTTTTATCATTTTTAATATTATTGTAATGTATAATGTCATTTTTTAAAAATCATATAGTTATTTTTTATATTTTATTTTACTTTTGAATTTTTAATTGTATTAAAATTTAAAAATATGATAATATCTTATATAAGTACTTAATATTAATACATCTAAACACTTTAATTAAAATTATATAAGTATTTGTTAACATGTATATTTAAATGCAATAACTTATTAAATGATAAGCATTTATAATATATTTAAATAATTTATTTGTCCCATTAATAAATATTTAATTCATCTTATAGTAAGTGTTGTCTAAGAAAAAATAAATTAAGTTTCATGATAAGTGTCATTTAAATTTTTAATGTATCATTGATTGATTTTTTTTCATTTATACCCATAATAAATATATTTCATATAATTGTTATGTTACATAGCTTCTAACATTCTTTTTAGCTCTCTTTCAATATTGAGAGAATTTGGAGGAAAGGGGAAAGATTTTAAAATAATTTTAGTATAATATCTAAAATATCTTTATTTATATAATTAAATTTAAAATTATAAAGATAAAAAAATAAATTGATTTTTAAAATTCTTTTCTCCCTTTATGAACCAAACAAGACTATGCTCTCCTTTCCTCCTTTGAACCAAATGAACTCTTGTGATAAATTGTTGATTTTTATAATAAACAGATAAAAAGTCACACAAAATGGTTCATATTACATGGTGAGTATTTTTTTTTTAATAATCATGTTATTAATATAAAATATTTACTAACTTTGTGAATAATTAATCTTTAATGGAAAACTTAATTGGTCACTTTTAATAGGATTTTTTTTCAATTTATTTTTTTATACACAAAATTTGAATTTAAAATCTTAAATTTTTAAATAAATCAATTTGCTACTTCTCAAATTAATGACTTGTTGATACATTGTGAGGATATAAATATTAAAGTCTTTTATTAAATATAATAATTACATCATTTAACTCATTTAATAGAAATAATACTTTTCTCTCTAACGTTCACACTAAACTTAATTTGCAGTCAACTACATAATGATCACGACATTTGCAATCCTGTGTTCAAACTAAACTTGCAAGAAAAATCATTGATCGTTGTTGACCAGAGAGAGTGAAAAAAAAAATAATGGGTAATGCAAGCATAACGTTATTGTGTTTCAGAGCCCTCATGTTTCTCATTCTTCCGTCACCGATCGATCTAAACGAGGAACCTTTTGAGCTTAATCTTCATGAAGATAACATGAACCTTGGTGTACAAGAAGATGACGAAGAACGCAGGGCAGATAATTTTCAGGAGGAACCGATAATCCATTCGAGATATTGGTTCGAGCAAGAAATAGATAATGATGTGAAATGGTCCTTGGCTTTAGACAGGTAAATATATATAATATAACTTAATTTCTTGAATGCATTCGTCTAAGCCTCTCCCACCATTTCGTACCTAAATTTTGTTTGAAATCTAATCAAGAATTTGTTGTATCTCAGTGTGGGGCTTGAAGTGTCAAGTGGGTACCAAAGTCTAGCCGTTCTTTTTACAAAACGATTTGGAAAGGTATGTTTTCTTGATCTGTGACAACCTATATATATTTTTTTCCTATGGCATAGAATTTGAATGCAATCTATATGTTTTCTTTGAGACCACAGTCCACACATGATACTAGTAATCTTCACTCACCTAACCATCCAAGTCCAACACATAGTCATGACTGCTTGAATAATAATTGAAATCCAAGTTTATTTCCCAAGTTTTTTAATGACATTGAGGTAGTTTGATTTTAAAATTATTAAAGTAGTCTACTTTTTAAAAAATTACCAACATGAGTGAGAAGTTTGGTGGACTTTCATCAAGAGCAACTCCTGGTGCTGTTAAATTTGAAGTTCAAAATGAATGGGTTTGATATATATCACATCCCTAACACCTCACTCATGCTGGATAATGTCCAAATTCATTTATTTTATCCATACATTTAAATTTTGACTTAAATATCTTTTTAATGGTTCAAATTTAAGTTAAATTTATTTTAATTTGTCTCTCAAATTTAAAAGTGGCGTGTGAATCTTCCTACTTTAGATATAATATCCACTTTAGATTCTTATTATGGGCTAAAAAATCACAAATTAAGGACTAAAATGAACTGTTTTTAGAGATCCAAAAAATTATTTTTAAATTTGAGGACCAAAAATATACATTTTACAAATTTGGAGAATCAAAAAATCAACTGTTTTAACCTTTAATCCTTTAATCTCCTCCTCCCATATATCCAACCTATTCCATAATATAAGTATACTTCAATGCTCAAAGTCATGGTGTGTTTCAAGCTTTGTATGTACCCCAGGCAAGATCTTACTTGCGGGCACAATGAGATTGGTGAGATTTTCAAAACCTTCATATAAGTTGTGGCCGCTGCAATTTAAAATCTCTTAGCAAGAATGGTGGATATGGCACATACTAATTCATGTTCATGGAGCATGCTATTAACTTGAATTAGCGGTAGGAAGTTAATTCTGTTCAACACATAGTATGTTTCCCTCTCAATTAAGCTTTGTAAATATAGTCTTATTAATTTTCCAAATAATAATTAGAAACATAGTTCTAAATTGAGGTTGTGATTATAGTTATAGTTGCGACTACTGTAATTGCGAACATAGTTGCTGTGATATGAGTTATAGTTGTTGGATCATGAAATTATTATATATTTGCATTGAACATAAATAAATAATTCTACAATAATAAAAATCAATTAACCCTCATTTTCTTGATTTTTCACTCTAAACTCCTATTTTGGAATGTATTATGCACTTTCTAACACTACAATCAACCATCATTGATTGCTTATCTTGCTCTCTTAACATTCTATGTAACTTAACTTATTAGATTAGAAGATTATAATTTAAACTTATGTATGCTTTTTAATAAAAAAAATGAAATAAAATGATATTGCAAATCTTTATGATGATTTAAAAGCATAACACAACTGCGAAAAACACTGCAATAACAATATTATAACCGCAACATGTGTTGTGGATGACAATTTAAAACTTTGATTAGAATGCTAGCTGCAAACATAGAAAAGAAATCTAATAGTTAGATTGCCTATCTATCTTGCAAATTGATAAATTACTTATTTATTTTCCTTGTCTATTATATGTATAGGCTATCGTGATTGATGGGCATTTGCAAAACGCAGAATTGGATGAATACATTTACCATGAAAACTTGGTCCATCCTGCTCTTTTAATACATAACGAATATGTATATATACTTTGAGTTAATCATTTATACACTGTTAGTGTAAAAAAATTTTACACTGACAATCAATTATATCTCTTAATTGTGTCATGTCACTGTTAAAAGTAAATGTGTTTACAGTGACATGACACAATTAAGAGATATAATTGATTGGCGGTATAAAAAAATTTTATACTTGCAGTGTATAGGTGATTAATTCATATACTTTTATATATACTTTAATTGTGTCCTATTTTATGGATAAATATTTACATTTCTAACCAAGTAATGATTGACCAATTGAGCAGACCCAAAACTGTGTTTATAATGGGAGGAGGTGGTGGGTCTGCTGTAAGAGAGGTTTTGAAGCACAAAGACATTGAGAATGTGTTAGTATGTGACGTTGATAGGGTGAGGTTTCATTAAATTTAGAGACTGTGGCATATCCCTTGTTAACTGATTGTGCAAATTTTAATTAAAACTTATCTTCCATTATATTATTCATCTGAGTTTAATTATTAACCACAGATCGCTTCCGGTTTGATCCGTGGGCATTTCCCGGCAAATAATGATGCCATAAATGACGACAGGGTTGAAGTTGTATACAATTATGCAAGGTGAGTAATATAATTCTTTGATTCTTCTCTCTATTCTTTGTAAATTTTTCGATTAGTTGGAGTACAAAATATACTTCTTTTTCTGAAAATTTCCTTGGTTAGTTAAATGCAGAGTTGCACTCAAGTTGAAATATACACCACTAATTAAAATATTAACAAAATTATAATTTTTTAAGTGTATAATTAGTGATATTATTGAAATTTTATTTCGATAATATATATAAATATATATTAATGAGATCTATATTAAATACAAATATATAATATAAAAGTAAAATTTTAATTCTATTTTTAAAAAAAATAGTACTAACAATCACACTTAAAAAACAATATCTAAATCTTGTCCTTAAAGTATTTGCTGACAATTCACGAAATCTTTCATTTTCATTTCATTTCCTCATTCTGTCTTTTCATTTATGTATGAATTAAAATTAGATAGAGGGATTGAATATATTTATTTATTACTTATAGGAAAGAACTAGAGAAGTCCGAGGAGAAGTTTGATGTGATCATAGGGGATCTTCCTGACCCAGATGAATCAGGGCCTGTCCATATCTACACAAAATCCTTTTATGAGAATGTTGCCAAACCTAAGCTCAAGGACAATGGAATCTTTGTCACTCAAGTAAGCCTATTTATTATTCTGTTCATGTTTTTATTTTATTTTTTTTCTAACTAACATATAAACATGAATTGCACTCACCTTTAATCTTTCAAAACTAATTAAACCCAACCTTCACACATACAGGCTGGTCCCGCGGGAATTTTTACACACAAGGCTGTGTTCTCGACAATATACAACACACTAAAGCAAGCTTTTACTTGTGAGACATTCTTTTTCCTTCTAACCCTTGCCATTATAGCAGCATTTGCAGTTCTTTCAAAATGGAATTTTTTATTATTAATTAGTTGATAAGCATTTTTCTTTTGACTTTTATGTAGATGTGATTGCATACACCGCAATGGTGCCATCATATGGAGACACGTATGGTTGGATTATGGTGAGATTAAAAGCAAATATTTAAATAAGAAAAAAAAATATAATATACATATGCTCCTTGGAATTCCTTCCTATATATCATTTTTGTACATGCGTATATCAATGTTCAAATGAAAGAAATTAATCGACATGCAAGGTATATGGTTAAAATTTACTAAATATATATATATATACAAATTAAATTGCATTGAGAGATTAATAATTTCATTTCAATGGAAGTGTAGTGTCCTAGCTAGATATAGTTAATTAATTTCACTTTCGTTGCCAACAATGATTAAATCCTAGCTAATTATCCTTTGATATATTTGATTGTACATTTAATTTACCAGGCTTCTGATGAACCAATGAATCTTGATGTTGAAGCACTGAACAACAAGATAGGGGAAAGAATGACGGGGGAGTTAAGATATCTCGATGGGCCTGTCATTGTGGCGTCTACGATTCTGAACAAGACATTGAGAAACTCGTAAGTGATTTATATAGCAATAGTTAATACCAATCTTATGTGAATTGAAGCACTTTATCATTTTGTTTATGACGTACTGAATGTGTGGTTCAAATTGTTGCAGACTAATGGAAGAGACTCGTATCTTAACCGATGAAACGATGACGGTGGGATATGTTCGCAAACCAGGAGTTCGCCGTTATGATGCTTAGTATTATTTTTGTTGTAGGCTAATCCAGCTTTTTGGTGGCAATTTGAACCAAAACTTTACTCTCATATTTCATTACCGTTCAAAATAACCTTAATCTCTAGAAATCTAGGGTCTAATAACATGATTAAGGGATTCATGCAATAAATGATCAAATGCTGAAAGCCTAATGTTATTTATTATGAAGTTCTCCGGTGTTAAATGTTATGAAATCTCTCTCTCTCTCTCTCTCTCATGCATCATTGTTATGACTTATGAATCACAAAATCTCTCTCTATCTCTCATATATACTAGGTTATCGTTCAATTTTGAGCTTCTTGCACTCATACTCCCTAAAACTATTAAGATATACTCTATTGCAGCTAGCATAAGCAAATATAGGAATCAGGGATCTGTCCACAAATTATATTTTGTCATATAAGTACTTCTTAAATTAAAGTGTTTTTAGGAAAATTGTTCAAAGAAAGTGTTTTTAAACTCTTTTTTAAATAAGAATATTTAACTTTTTTTTCTTTCTATTTAATCTATCATCTTTTTCTTTTTTTTTTTCTAAATTAAATTCTAATATTTTTTTAAAAATATCTATAATTAAAAATAACTTATATTAGTATATTTTGATAAAAAAATTATTTATTATAAATTAAAAATATAATTTATATGATAAAAATATTTATTTATTATAAAAATCATTTATAATATATTTTATTTATTTAAAAATATATCATATCCGGATTAAAATACTAGTTAAACATAAATCATTATGTTTGCAACAATGTATTTGGGTACAGAGCCCAATTTGTTTGTATGTAATACAAATTTTGGGCTTCTTATTTTCTTATATTTTCATCAATTGACACTAATATGTAATTTTTGTTAACTAGCAACATTAATATGTTTTATTTCAATTTTATAATTGAGTCAATTTTATAAACATGCAAATAACTGAATTCATGGGGAAAAAATTCATACTGTTTAACTTTAAATACAAATGAAGGTCCTTGATGCACAAGTGAGTTGAGTGCCTTAGTTATTTGTTAGATTCAGTTAGTTTGATGGGGTGGAATATACATATTACTTATAAATATATAGGAGGAAGGTTCGAGAGATGAGGTATCTAACTGAGAAGAGTTAGAGCTTTTGGACATTAGGAGGTATATATAGATCCCACAAGAGTATAGAAAACATTTTTGCATAGTTTCAACACTTGTCAAAATTCTTTAGCTTGCTTGTTCTTCTCTTGTCTATATATTTATATAGCTCCATTTGAAATACCCGTTGAAGATGCTTTGACGTACAGTTGTTCTTCTTGTTTCCGATCTCTATGAAAGCATTGTGAATTCTTTGCATTGTCTTCAAGAAGACTTTGATTCTGACTTGGTAGAGATAAATATATTTTTTTATTCATCTCTTCTTTACCAAAATGACATTACATTTTTGACGCTGGGTCGGTCGATCTCCTGTTGGATGATTGTTTTCAGTTGGCCCGGCTTCTTCGTCGCAGCCAATTTAGCCAATTGATCGGCTCGCGCATTGTCTTCTCTTGGGATGTGCTCTATCAATACCTCTTGAAAGTTCGTCTTCAACTTGTGATAGGCGTGGTAGTATTTCATCATGTTGTGGTCTTTCACTTGGAAGTTGCCACCTATTTGCTCGGCTACCACTTTAGAGTCGGTTCGACACTTGATTCGTGATGCACCCATGTCTTCAGCCAATCTCAGCCTGGCTAATAAAGCTTCATACTCAGCTTGGTTGTTCGAAGCTTGGAATCGAAAGCGCAGGGATTGTTCCAGTGTTATCCCATTCGGCCCTTCTAAAATTACCCCTGCCCCACTCCCCTGCTTGTTTGAGGAACCGTCAACGTGAAGAGTCCACCAAGGCTCTTCGAAGTGTCCGTGTGGGCGGAGCTCGTTTATAAAATTGGCCAGGCATTGGGATTTGATCGGTCCTCTCGATCTGTAGCTGATGTCGAATTGGGAGAGCTCTACTGACCAAGCCATCATTCTCCCGGCGAGCTCGGGCTTGTCGAGTACCTTAGCAATCGGACAGTCGGTGTGTACGACGACTCAATGGCTTTGGAAGTAATGTCGTAGACGTCGGGAAGTGTGCACTAAACAGAGTGCCACCTTCTCTATCAACTGGTATTGGGTTTCTGAATCTTGTAGTAGTCGGCTAACAAAATATATGAGAGCCTGTGTGCCTTCTTTTTCCTGCACCAAAATCGAGTTGATCGCCTCGTCAGACACGACCAGGTATATCATAAGTGGGCTCGAAGGATCAGGTCTCGTCAGGATCGGTGGCGTCACCAAAGTTGCTTTCAACGCCGTGAAGGCGGCTTCGCACGATTCATTCCAAGAGAAGGCCGAGGCCTTTCGCAAGAGCTTCGTCATTGGGCTAATTTTGTCGCCTAGACGCAGGAGGAATCGGGATAAGGCGACTAATCTTCCTGAAAGGCGCTGCAATTCCTTTAGGTTGCTCGGGCTTCGCATATCTATCACGGCTTGACATTTGTCTCGATTTGCTTCTATGCCTCTCGATGACAGCATGAACCCTAGGAATTTGCCTCCCTTGACTCCGAAGGTGCACTTCTCGGGGTTGAGTCTCATATTGTGCTTGCGCAATTCTCCAAATATCTCGGCCAAGTCGGTTACGTGATCAGCCATGGATTTGGACTTCACCACCATGTCGTCCACATAAATCTCGATGTTTCGGCCGATCTGACCCTGAAATACCTTGTCCATTAACCTCTGATAGGTTGCCCCGACATTCTTCAACCCAAACGGCATTACATTATAACAAAAGTTGGCGTTCTCGGTGATGAACGCCGTTTTTTCTTCGCCGGCCGGGTGCATTTTTATTTGGTTGTAACTTGAGTATGCGTCTAAGAAGCTGAAGATGGAGTGTCCGGACGTGCCGTCTAAGACTCGGTCGATGCAAGGGAGTGGGTAGGCGTCCTTGGGACAGGCTTTATTGAGGTCGGTATAGTTAGTACACATTCTCCACTTGCCATTTGACTTTTTGACCAGCACCACGTTAGCTAGCCAGGTGGTGTAGGTGACTTCTCAGATGAATTTTGCTTGCAACAGTTTCTGCACCTCGACATTTGCAGCCTTTCTCTTCTCGTCTCCCATCTTCCTCTTCTTCTGGGCAACCGGTCGGGCATCTCGGCATACGGTCAGTCGGTGACACAAGAAATTAGGGTCTATCCCTGGCATGTCTAATGTCGTCCATGTGAACAAGTCTTTATTGTCTCGAACCGCTCGTTTCACCCGGTTCACATCAATTTCACTCAATTGGGATCCTAAGTGTGTGACCTGTTCTGGTAGTCGACCAAGCTGAAACGGGACGAGGTCCTCGGCGGCCTCGATCCGCTCCTTTTTTCCTAACCGAGGATCAAGGTCAATGCCCTCGTTTATTCCTTGTCTGACCACATTCACACCTCTTGTTGTAGTCGAGGGGTTGGCAATGGGTTGCACCTTCAAGCTAGAGAGGTAGCACTCCCTTGCTATTTTTTGGTCGGCATGCACGGTGATCACCTGCCCATCCCTCGACGGAAACTTCATGCATAGGTGAGGCGTCGAAACAATGGCCCCCAACGCATTGATTGACGGTCGGCCTAAAAGAATGTTGTATGATGTATTTGCGTGTACCACGATGTATCGGATTTTGACCTCTCGAAAAGACTTTTGATCGAAACCGAAGTGAGTGTATAGGTCAATGCATCCCCTCGTCATCACTCTTTCGCCTGAAAAGCCGACCAGAGGTTCATTGTATGGCTCTAAGCTCTCCTCGGGGATCCCCAGTTGTACGAAAGTATTCCAATACAAGATGTCAGCAGAGCTCCCTTGGTCGACCAATGTTTTCTTCACGATGCAATTGTGCATCTAGACAGAAATCACCATGGGGTCGTCCTGGACAGGGTCTACACCACGAAAATCTCGGTCTGAGAAAGTGATTGGCGGCATCTTTGGTGTCCTCGGCTGGCTCACGCTGTTCACTGACTGTACTTCCCAGAGGTGTCTTTTCTATGCAGAGGATGTGGAACCTCCCCCAGCAAAACCTCTGGCTATTGTGTTTATTATCTTCCTCGGCCGATCATGGTCTTCTCGGGAGCTTCGTGAGTGGTCTTTCCTTTCATTTGATCGAGATCGGTGGCGTCGATCTCTGGGCGGTGACGCTCGTCGAGGGAATTGGTCTCTTCCTCTTGGTCGGTGGTCTTGGGGTGAGACAAAGTTCCTGAGGTGACCTTGCTTGATAAGGCCTTCAAGCTTGTCCTTTAGTGCCGAACATTCTTCTGTCGAATGTCCTCTGTTTCGGTGGAATCGGCACGTTTTTGCCTTGTCGGCTCTCGGGGGCGTGTTTGCTCTTTTCGGCATCACCAGAATTTCTGACGCGAGGGCTTGCTCCAATACCTTAGCCCTACTCGTGTTGAGGGGAGTGTACGTCGTGTATCGTGGTCCTCTCGGCCTGATTCCTTCCTGCTATGGCTCTCCTCGGCTCTGGCCTGGTTCCGGGTCTCCGCAAGCTCCTCCATTTGCATATACTTCTCAGCTCGGCGGCGAAGATCATTCATATCAAGTGGTGGTTTCTTACACAAGCTATTTACGAATGGCCCGGGTTTCAAGGCGGTGCTCAACCGGTCGAGGGCGACGGCCGGGTTAAGATCACCTATCTCCATGGCAACCTTGTTGAATCGGTCCATGAAGCATCTTAAGCTTTCCTTTTTCTCCTGACGAATCCTCGCTAAGGCTAACGAGGTCGTCCTGTACGACTTGCTCGTCGCGAATTGTAAAGTGAACTGGGATGACAACTTGCCGAACGAGTCAATGGAAGAACTCGGAAATCTCGTGAACCAACTCAGGGCCCTTCCCTTCAGCGAAGTGGGGAATATTCGGCACAAAGTTGAGTCATCTTGAGTGGAGAGGGTCACCTGTGTTAGGAACACGTTCAAGTGTTCATCGGGGTCAGTGGTTCCGTCATACTTCTCGATCGGGAGATTCTTCCAATGATCCAAAAGAGTCACCTCCATTATCCTCCGTGAGAAAGGGTGTCTTAGGGAGTGAACGGTGGTGTCGGCCTTGTTGGCTATCAAAG